CCCTCTTTTTGCTCTTGTATAGCTTTTCCCTGTGTTCTCAACTCCCATTCCTACCACTTAGTGTCTCTCCCCCCACCTCCCACCCCCAACACTTCCTGCTTTTCTCTACCAATACTTGATACTGGAATGGGCAGGGTGGCTAGGAATCAGAGACCCCTGGTAATGTTAATACTTGAAATGTTGGCATACCTGTTTTCTGGCCGAAACTGGATTCTCTTAGTTGCATGGTTATGACCAACATGCGTTTGCCCTTCTTCTGTGTTTGCTGTTTCACGTGGAACACAGTCAGTCTGTACTGCGTGGGAAGGGGCCACGCTACTGTTCTTAGAAACCCTTAGAAAAAGCCTTTCTAATGTAATAGCTGCTATTTTTGTCTCCTTGGACCTTGTACGCTGACTTGTGCTTTATGGCAAGATGAGAATTGCTCCCTCGCTGCCCGTTACGGATTGGGCTCTACCCTACCCCCTCAGTGTTAACCACTGACCTCGTATTTAAAGACTTAACATGTTTGGTCTTTCCATCGTGTTTGTCTCTTACTTCCTCTTTGAATCTCACTTATTCCTTGGATTCCAGTATACCAGATCTCCTGTGTTCCTTTTAACTGTATGTCCACCTTCCACCCTCTAAACTCCCCATCTGTCTGTTCTATACATAACACTTGTGTAGCATGGCCTGCGGGGTGCTCAGCTCATTCCCTCTTCTCTCACTGTCTCAAAAAAGACATCCCTTAGCCCTCTAATCTAGCCCTATTTTCAGAGCTGTGGATCCATATTTCGCCCCCACTGGCTAGATTTATTGGCCCCGATCTCTGAGACTTTCAATTCATCATACCCAGAGTCTGCTTCTTGGATTTCATTTATTATCCAACACCTCACTCAACCTAACTATCTTCAGAGCAGTGAATCCCAATTGGATATGGGCCCCATTGAAAATACATACTGCATATTAATTAATACATTTTATGTATAATGGTCTTGGATTCAAAACTTCTCTCTGAAAATGTCTCAAATGTCCATGTCACTATGTTCCTCTCAGCTCTTGCTTGCATAGATAGAAGACTTGTTTAACTGATCTGTCCTCATGCACTCTTCTTCCAATCATCCTATACTGACAAATTGATTATGCACAACCAGGAGCATGTACTTCTTTACTTCTGAAACCTCCCATGACTCATAGAGAAGTTCACACAGTACAGCTCAACACCAGAGGGTTCTGCTGTAGGATCCCATGCTCCTTCCTCAGGCTCATCTTCTGCGTTAACCTGCCGCAGCCTCTTGTGCTCTGGCCATAGCACTGTCCCCACCCCTAGCTGAGACTTCCTTCAAACTGCGTGTGGTGTAGAAGTGTTCCTTTTTCAATGCTCTTTTCTCCTTGAAGGTCCAGCTCTCATTGTCATCTTATCCAAGCCCTTCCTCAGTTACACCATTTCAAATTAGCTACCCTTTCCTTTCCATTTTTATGTTGAGTTAATCATGTGCCATACTGCTTCCCCATTTGATTCCATTATGGATTGTGTGCCTGACCATCGTGTGCTTCCAGAAGGGCAAAGGGCCCTGCACTGAAGTATACAATGAAGGAATGACTGACCCAGTGAATCAGTGAACCCACTCTTTGGGATTTTACCCACTCAAAAACTCTCAAGTGATGAAGGTTCTCATGGGTCTGACACCCTGAAACCCCTAAAGTTGCGGAAGCTCCTTTGTGTTGAGAGCTCTCCAGTCCTCTTCAGGAGCCACCTCATTACCATCCTCCCCTCGAGCATGTGATGTGGATGTTGAGGAAGTTAGCTTGTGCTAATGGTGTAGCAGAGCCATGGAAGCTTTGAGCCTGAGGCCACCTGCCTGAATCTTAGCTGCAGTTCTGCCTCCGCTTGCTGGCGCGTCATGTGTACCGTGTCTCTTTTTGCTTTGTGTCTCAACTTTTTATCTCACTGTCAGCAGGAAACCCTGTGGTATCTATCTCATCGGGTTGAAGTAAGAAAGGTGATAATCCTTGTACAGCCCAGTGCATGGTGCCGGGCACCCAGCAAGCATTTAGTAATAACCACAGACTACCTGTGCAAGGTCCTGAGAGGTTTTTGATCACTTCTAGGTCACGGCTAATTACCTGGCAGCATCTGGGCTACTTATGGCCCACACATGAATGTATTGTTTTTGCGGGGTTATGGAATATAGAGGTGGCTATGGAAGTTTTGAAAAGAGCAGGAAATGTAGGAGACTGTTTTTATTATTTTTCTGGAAAACATTAGACCATCTGAGGTGGTAAATAGAGTGGTTAAGACTATGGGCTCAAAAGCAAGTGTCTAAATTACAGTCCTACTTCTGCTACGTATAAGCTGTGTGACCCCCATGCGAGTTGCTTAACTTCTCTTTTCTCAACTTCTTTATTTGTAAAAACAAAGATAACCATCTCACTTTATAGACTTGCTGAGATTATTAAATGGAACAATTTATTGAGATCTCTTGCCTCATACATAGTAAATAGTACTGTTTGCTGCTTTTGTTGCCACTGATGTCCATTCTTCTGCTCTTGCTAAACTGAGCCAGCACCTCTGGGCCTCCAGTCCCTCCTGGACTGTGCCAGCAGTTGCCACTGAGTAGTGGAGGCTCCGTAACCATAAGTTGGGCATGAACTTTTCAGGATAGCCATGTCCTCCCCATTGCCTTTCACCTGATATCTGCTCTCTTAATATCAATTTTGTCAGTCTCTTGTTGACAGATGCCACTCTTGTGCGTTCTTGTCCAAGAGGGCTATTCTGTGAATCAGTCTTTAAGGCAACATGAACCTCAAGGAACATTTAGCACAGTAGTTCCTAATGTGTGCTCCAGACCAGTAGCATCAGTGTCCACCAGAAACTTTTTCTCAGGCCTCACCCCAGACCTACTGGATCAGAAACTCTGGTGGTGCGCCTAGCAACCTGTGTGTTACAAATCCCTCTGGCTGGTTCTTATACCCGCTGAAGTTTAAGAACTACTGATGTAACATATGAGTTCTATATTCATATTATGTCCAGTAAAAGTAGTTATGTTTAACTTTTTATAAAAGCCCTTATTTGTGATCTGAGCTCACATACTATGTTAAAGCTAACTACTTTTTCTTTTTGCGCTCTTTTTTCTGTCATTCATGACTATGGTATAGCATCTGATTCTGTAAGTATTCTAGAATTTAGTATTTGTGATTGCTAGTTTGGGAATTTCTTTTCAAATAGTTGCTTTGCATTTTTTAAAATATATTTATTTTTTAATATATTTATTTATTTTTAAGAGAGAGGACGAGGCAGGGAGAGTGGGGGACACAGAATCTGAAACAGGCTTCAGACTATGAGCTTTCAGTGCAGAGTCTGACACGGGGCTCGAAACCATGAACCGTGAGGTCATGACCTGAGTTGAAGTTAGATGCTTAACCAACGGAGCCACCCAGGTGCCCCTGTGAGTGTGATTTAAAGGTGGCACTAATAAGCCTGTCTTCCAAGTTCTTCGCGGATTATTTCATTCTGCACATCAAGTACTCAACTTTTGACTATAATCCTATTAAATTAGAATTAAATCTTTGTATCTAGGGAAGACATAATTTTGAAATTTTATTTGAAAGATCATTCTAAAAATCGTATGTTATTAAAATGCAGTTACTTATACATTATTAGAGTCGACATGTGGTTATGTAATGTAGTCAGTAAAGGCAATGATGATTTAGTAATATCTGTCAGTTATAATTTAACTTTTTTAATTATTAATTAATTTTAATTTTAATTATTTTTTTTGAGAAGAAAAAAATAAGACACTAAGAGTATTTTCTAAAAGAGTTTTGGAGATTGTAATATGCTACCATTAAAAATTTCATTTAATCAAAGCCAACGGCTAAAGCATTTTGTCTGTAACTTTAAAACTGAAATGTTGATAGACATTCGTCTCAAAGCTGTGCACGTACTGTTTAGTAATCCTACTTCCTTCACAACTATTTACCAATGAAGCCAAGAACAGCCCACTTCCTTAGGCCCCTGTGTACATGCTACATAGGAGGGCAACTAAGAGTAGCTTGAGTATTCAGTAAATTTGTATCCTCTTTTGAAAATTAAAATATTGAGAATTGTCTTCCTCTTTTCTAGTATGTGAACATAAAACCAGTTTGGGTTATTTTATCAAAAATTTATTGGTTGCACAATAAGACACAATCTCTGCTCTCAAAAGTATACATAGATTATTAGAGTAGGTACATGTGTGGGCAAGTTATTACAAAGCAGTGCAATCCAGTAATTGAGGTGTGACAGCATCCACAGGTGAGAGTGATTGGGTTTGAGGTGGTGGTGGGAGTTTGGCCAGGTGAGGTTTCATGGACCAAGTGACGGCATAGGTTTCAAGAATGGGTAGGTAAGATTTTTCCTGGTGAATCCAAGGGAAATTCACGTGTGCTATAGCACAGGGGTAAAATGGAGTAAGGTGGTTCTGAGAGTTACAAATGTATATAAGATACGAGTGTAAGATTCCAGGGATCACAAAGGCCAGAAAGATGGACACGTTCCAGGGTTTCCAGGGCTTCTTAGAGCATGGAAAAAGGCCTGGGGTTAACCTTATGGTGATCTTGTTGGAGCCAAAGGTACATTTACAGAGCATGACTACTCCTTTGTGCATTTTCTCTAGAAGGTACAAATCCACATCCACAATTCTAGATAACCACATTTTAGTTTTTAAAACCACAAAAAGATTCGGGAGGAAATGTGGGGGTGAATAATAATAATAGGCTATCGTTCTTTGAAAAACTTCCCAATATGGATGCTATTCATTGTGGGTCAGCAGTTCCATCTATAAATGTACCAAGAATGGCATAATGATGTCATACTCTATTTAAAACATTTTTTAATTTTAGAAAAATGTTTATTTTTGAGAGAGAGCTCATGGGCAGAGAGAGCAGGAGACATAGAATCTGAAGCAGGCTCCAGGCTCTGAGCTGTCAGTACAGAGCCTGATGCGAGGCTTAACCATGAACCGGGAGATCATGACCTGAGCCAAAGGCGGACTCTTAACCACCTGAGCCACCCAGGCACCCCTCTGTTTAAAACATTTGTAATTCACTCTCTGTAGGGAGAAATTTGGGAGATACCAAGAAAACATGACGTGTTTTTTGTCTTTAAAACATGTTGTCTTTCTTAATGAATCCTGACCATGTTTTGGGGACAGAGTCATGAACATAGGTAATTAGCAAAGGGAAATCTGCAATGAAAGCCCTAATGCATAGCCAAACAGTGGGTGAAGTAGTTACTTTGAACTGGAGGTGTGAGGCAGGAGAAGAGAGGCTGTGTAGGTGGCATATTTAGCCACCATTAGAGGGCATTCCTGGGCAGAGGGAGATTTCCAAAGAATATCGGTCAGTACAATATTTGTGCCCTTAAATCATACACATGTAAGACAAATGCAACATACAAGAGTACAATATGTTACATGGCTTAGTAATGGTTTAGTGCCTCCTATGGAATACTGAAATAATCTCAGTACTCTTTATACTGAGCAAGGGTCTTAACAGTTAATAAGGAGAAACTCCTTCATCCAAGCTTTCTCAGGGTTTTTTGACTGACTTCAGTTCCCCCAAGGTTTAATATCCAGAAGCTTCAGCTTTCATCAAAAGACTTTCATGGGTTTTTTTGTTTTGTTTTTAAATTGGCAAGTATCAACACTTGTGAGATAGAGAAGCAGTTGTTTGAGTTTTGTGTGTCAGAGAATGTGAGGAGGTGTTTTGGAAGGAGGTTTTTAATAATACAAGTTTATCCGTATCTTTTCCAAATCCTAAGTGAGTGCTCTCAGAATGGTGACCTCTAATGGCCACTTGCTTTCTCTTACATTTCTCTGACTGATACTTCACTCTGCTTATAAATTGATGTATGCGCAGTTAAAATTTGTAGAATCCTTTGTGTACAGCAGGATAAAAAAAAGGATTTGCTCCATCCTTTTTTCCTCGCTTAAACTTGATTTTCCAGACTCTCTTGTCGATTAAGTATTAGGTAACCAGTATAAAGTTATCAGCCTAGAGTTATATTGTCTGTCTGAATAGTACGATTTTCTTGGGTTGATGATGTGATCTTCCTCCCTCTCATACATGGTAGCCTTTCTGTAAATTTTTTACATAGGAATATGTATATTATGGGATCCATGCAAATGTTAGTTGCTGCCAAAAAGAGGGTTGTTTCTTTAGCTATGAACAATTGATTTTGCAGCCTGCAGTCAGTCTTGCTGTTGGTTTGACTGTGAGTGTATGGAATTCTGGAAAAATGAAATGGAGCAAAACACACAAAGAATACAGCCACAACAACAAACACTTTACCTTCCAGCTTTGTGTTCTGCTTGCTGTCCTTGCTTCTGGTCTTTCTGTACGAGTCATATACCTTTTTTGCAATCACCACATAAAACAGAAGCATCAGGACAAAAACAGTCCAGAAAATGACCTGGGATATGTAGTTCACCACTTGATGCCATTTCAACCCCAGTGGACCCTTTAAGGAGGCACACTTTTTCACAGATGATGGTGTTGCTTCCTTGTTGCTCAAGATTATGTTGGGCAGAGAGATGAGGAACAAAAAGAGCCACACAGAGGTCGAGATCATTTTCGCAAAATCAGGTTTTTGTACAAAAAATTTGCCAAAAGGCCTGATGATCTTTAGGAATCTATCGAAGGCTATGAAGCCTAGCAGTATGATGCCCACATACATGGCATCGTAAAAGATGACTGCAGAGAAACGACACACAAAGGCCCTGAGTTGCCATGGTCCAAGGTGTGAGTCAGAGAGGATTTTAAATGGAAGCATGAACGTCATTATCAAGTCGGCCACCAACGTATTTTTGAGGTAGACAATGAAGGTGGAGGAGCTGGGGATGTGAATGAACACCCACAGGGCCAAGGTGTTCAGCAGGATGCCTGTGAAGAAAACGATGGTGTAGATGACTGGGAACACCAGCTGTGATATCCGTGTGTCCCTGGGGCACCGCTCAGACCCATTGAAGCCCTTTATCACCGTGGAGTTCATGGTTTCCAATGTCAGCTGTTATAAATCAACACATACACAAAGTAAAACAAGAAGCATTTCCTAATTTCGAAGTGCTGCTTTTAAAAACAGGCTTTAGGTGTATAGCATATTAACACCTTCTATTTATTCAGCACATTCAGTAGATAAGTTGAAAAGGCACACGTTGTTTCTGGCTAGAATTTTTTTAAACCATGTATTTTACATTTTTGCTACTCGTAACAGTACCATTTATTTCTCCTACACTCTTATGAAATCCAAATAACAGGTTCTTCCTCCTTCTCAAGTGCTACTTTGGACATGGCAGAAGACCCATTTAAGAAGTTACAATTCATGTCAGATTGCGGTACATTGTATCATTTCTTATGCTCCTAATCTATGGTTTCTAGAATGTATACCGTAAAGCGTTTTTCCCCCCTGAGTATGTACTGTCTTTCATAAGCAAGCCCGCCCATTAGAAAAGTTGAAATTCACCTTTGTTTGGGAGGACACTGCGCTCACTATCTTCTGATCGAGGCAGCCATCCGTTCAGTCCATGAGGAGCATGTGAAGCAAGTGCTGTTCTGCTTTCTTATGCTGGGTTTCCTTCCTCATTTTCACGTGTGTAGTGTAATCAATTAGAGCCTCTTCGTGGTCAGACTTTGGCAGATTATCTAATAAGAAGGCTCTTTAGCTCTTTTATTTCAAACTTAGATGGTGTTAATCTACTATGACTTGGATGAATTAGTTTAGAGGCAGTCTCTTTATATTTTCTCATCTTATAACTTTCTGGCAGTTTCTCTTTCCAGTCTACATAGTGAAATTTTTGAGTACCTGTTGTATATAATAATAGGTGGCAGAAAAATAGCCCCAAATTAAAACCACATAGGAAAGTAAGGGTTGACTTTAAAATTAGAATTACCATCTCCACACTTGGAGACTGTTTTGTTCCAGAAATTGTTATTCAGTTGGCTGGCCTGTTTAATTTTACATGTACTTTAGTTTTTTGGTCTTTCTATCTCAGAGAGATAGAGTGACATATTTTCTAAGAGTTCAGGGCTATTAGACCCAGATTTGCAGGGATGGGGCCGGGGGCAGATGTTAGAACCCAGATCCAGGAAATACTGAGTAATTGATCATAGACAAATGATTTCATAACTCTCTGCCTTTGTTTCCTTATTATTTGCTTAATGGGTTTAATGATAGTATATACCTCATATGTTATTGAGAAGAAAAAACAAGCATCTAGAATTATGCTGGGTATAGAGGAAGCACTAAAAATTGTTCACCCTTTATTGCATTGGTGAGTGAAGTGCAGATTTAAATGGAGGTATACTATTTCACTCCTTAGAAATCAGTTTTGGAAATCTCTCTGTGTTTAATGGATCCAAAGTGTGGAACACTCGGGAATTTTATCATCCTTGGGCCAAGATCTATGAAATTTATCCTTTAAATGTCTTCACGTTTGAAAGGGTGTAATTGCCACTTTGTTTAGAGACCATTGTTGTCCATGAACAGACGTGTTTCCCTGCCAGATAGGTAAAGGGAAAGGGGAAATTGGGAGACCTTATGAGGGGAATGTGGAGTTCTCCATGGTGAGTTTCACTTCATAGTTTCTCCTGCACATTTAACCACAGAGTTGGACTAGATCGTGGGGTTACGTGGAACAAAAATTTTGGGATGACCTGGTTTGGGATTCTAAGAAAAAAAATTTCCTGTCCCACTGGACATTTTAAAACAGGAGGCAGTAGGATGCCAGATAATTTTGTTGGAACTACCCTATTATGGCACAGTTTAAACCATGTTTGACTCCGATAAATTGTTTCTTGGAAATACAGATTCTGGATTTCATTTATGTGATAGAACATAATTTAAGTATACATCTTTTTGCTATTTACTCCAGTAGAAGAAAAATAACCAACTATTTTTACTTTTTAAGTAGACAGATATGACCTCCATAATTGTACATTTCCTGAAATCTCCAAAACCATTATCTAGATGGAGGTTTGGAATAGTTTCAGTTTAAACAGGAAAATGCTGTACAAGATAATTTCATAATTACAAAACTGGAAATCACACTTTAGTCAACTTTCAAAATGTCGAAGTGTGGGAAACTCTGAAAAGAGGAACTGACTTTAACAGTGCCTGTTTCTAGAGGTGTGGAAGTGTATTCTCTTAAATGTGGCAAGTTTCAAAATGTTGGACCCTCCTAAATATCCCAACAGATCACACTTTCCTATATGTCCAAGTGCTTAGTGTGATTTCATTGACTTTACCTTGAATCACCCTAGTGCTGGTGGCCAGAGGGCAGAGATGTGTGTCTTTTGACCTTGATGGCCTGACTGAGAGGCTGCCCAGCAGATAGGAGCACTCTCTCAGGAGCCAGAGTGCCTGGTTTCAACTTCTTATAACTCTACTTTTTTTGTGACTTTGGGCAAGATATTTTATGTTTTCTATGAAACCGTTGTCTCCTCTTTACAATGAAAATAAATAATAGTATTTGCTTTGTTGGAATGTTAAGGAAATTAAATGAGTGAAGATTCCCCAAGTGTATAGTATAATGTATGTCAGGTGGTAGTTGTTCATGTGTTTCTTATTAAATGAAGCTGAAAGTAGAATACCATGTATACACTTGGTGATAGATCTGAAAAGGCAGGTGGGAAAAATCAAAGATGCAATGTAAGATCCCAGAAATCAGAAGATTGCCGAATGGGAATACACTGAATTTAAGATCTTCTCAGGCTCACTGGGGTGTATAGTCAAAAACCAATAAAATAAGTATAACTAGTGATTATACTGCTCAGAGTGATAATATGATTTTATTTAATTCTTAGCAAAATCCTGAGAGATTGATCCAGTTCTACAGGTAAGAAAATTGAGGCACAGCAGTTAAGCAATTTGCCCAAAATCCTACAACCCAAGCCCACTTCAATCTCACATAGTCTGGTTCAGAATCTGCCTCATGCTCCCACAACTGTCATTAACCAGATAGGGTGAACTGGGATTGTTTACTAGAGTGTAGAGCTCTTGAGCTGGGTATTACTGCTTGATGAGTGAGGGATAACAATCAACTTCAAAGTTTAATGGATTTGTGAAACTTTTTTCCTTACTGTGAGGTATATGGCTAAAAACATAAATTGGTTCCAAGTGGTATGATCAGCAAAAGAATTAAAGAAGATACCATTAAAGGTGATAGAAATTAGAAGCCTGCCAAACTGCACTAAACTATTTTTTTTCATCTGTCGTCTCTTTTGAGATTCTCCTTTGGATCAGAATTAATAGTCTAAAGGTTCCTGTTGATGTGGCTGAGCAGTACCACATAACATCTCAAAAGATGAGGAAGTATTTGTTTTCATTTAGAATGAAAGTCAAAGTGGGAACTCCTACAAGAGTCCTGTATTTCCCATCAGATCATAGGATGGTATGTTCTAGGTGATAAATTGTTTAAAAAATTCCACACTAGATTAACTGAAAGTGGAAATAATAATTTAAAATAAGTTATGCAATTTAACATTAAATGTAAAAGTGTCTGTAAATAGGTATTCAGTATAGAAAACCTCTACATGTAACTGGAAACAAGCAATAAATTCATAGTATTACCTGGCACATGTTCATATCAAGTTTCATATTTTTATTATAAAAGGAAAGCAAGTTTGAGGAGTTCAAACACATAGTCATGTGTATCACAGAAAGTGAGAATTTTCCCCCTTGCATGTACATATTGACATATCAGATCTTTGTTTCCTTTTATGATATTACATGAAGATTTACCTATTTTTTTTAAAATGTTTACTTTGAGAGAGAGAGGGTGCATGTGCATCATGAGCCGGGGAGGGACAGAGAGAGGGAGAGATAGAATCTCATGCAGGCACGGTGCTATCAGCGTGGAGCCTGAAGGTGGGGCTAGATCTCTACCAAGACCCTGAGATCAAGACATGGAGCTGAAATCAAGAGTAAGACACTTAACGGACAGAGCTACTCAAATGCCCCCATTTACCTATCTTTTTAAAAATTTTATTTATTTTGAGAGAGAGGGAGAGAGGCAGAGAGAGAGGGAATCCCAAGCAAACTCCCTGCCGTCTGTGGGAGCCTGATGCAGGGCTCTAACTCATGAACCATGAGATGATGATCTGAGCAGAAATCAAGAGTAGGATGCTTAAATGACTGAGCCACCCAGGCACTCCACCTTTTCTTTCTTTCTTTCTTTTCTTTCTTTCTTCCTTCCTCCCTCCCCTCCCCTCCCCTCCCCTCCTTTTTTTTTTTTTTTTAAATGTTTTATTTATTTCTACGAGAGAGAGAGAGAGCGAGCGAGCAAGCAGGGGAGGGTCAGAGAGAGGGAGTCCACAGACTGAAACAGGCTCCAGGCTCTGAGCTGGCAGTCAGCACAGAGCCCGACGCGGGGCTCGAACCCACGAACCGCGAGATCATGACCTAAGCGAAAGTCGGACGCTTAACCGACTAAGCCACCCAGGCGCCCCTCTTCTTTCCTTTTTTTTTTAAGTAACACGGAATAAAGTTATCATAGTTTAGTTAAGGCATTTACTGATTGGCTTATTTCCTCGAAAATTTTCTCTATTGAAAACAGTACTATAGGACACATATATGTTCATACATTTTCATTCAGTTGTTAAAATATATTTGTAGTAAGTTTCCTAGAAGTGGGATTGCTGGACCAAAGTTCTGCATCAAAATGTTGAATAATATTTTCAAATAATTTCCAGGAAGATTGTACCAGTTTATAGTCTCCCTGAGTGGGATTCTTCCAGTACTGTTAGAAAAATCTTTTAAATCAATGTTCTAAACTTAAAGATGAAAAAAATCCATGTAATTTAAATTCATTTGCTTATTAGTAAGGGTATAGACTTTTTTCATATTTTTAGTGTCTATTTTTATTTCTCCGGGAAATGGATTTTTTTAATGTTCTTTTCCCATTTAAAAAATCAGGCTGTTTCTCTCTACTTATTGACTTGTAAGTGTATTTCTATATATTTAATTCCATCTGGCATCATTGTACAATCACTCTGGGCATTAGCAATCAATAGTGATCACCTACATCAGGTACTAGAATTTATGTTTGTTTCTGAAACAGCTAGATGCACAGATAGAGGGTTTTTTTTTTTTCCTGTGTATTTTCCCCATTTTTAGAGTTCTAGTCCAGGGATTGTCAATCTTCATATTCCTCCCTTTTTTATAGATTTTTTTTTTTTAATGTTCACTTGTGAGAAAGAGAGTACCTGAGTGTGCACGTGAATAGGGAAGGAGTAGGTAGGGGAACAGGGGAACCCAAGGGGGCACTGGGCTCTGCAGTGGTAGTAGAGAGCTATCAATCTTCTTTTCTAAAGAAGCACTTACTAAATGTTGGGGTTTTACACCCATGCAGCCTTCAGCCATAATTATTTAACCCTATTGTTGTGGCAGGAAAGCAGCCTTGGATCAAACCTGAGTGGGGTGTGGCTGTGTTCTAGTAAACCTGACTGTGGACACTGAAACTTGAATTTCATAGAACTTTAATACAACATGAGTTTTATTCTTTTTTTTCCCGGTTGATATTTGAAAATGTTAAGAACATTCTTAGGTCTCAGGAGGTGGGTTTGGCTTGCAGACTAAAGTTTGCC